CATAAACACATGACCATATCAAATGACCGAGTGCGCTAGAAGAGTGCATGTAACTCGGTTATCATTGGTTCAGCAGCTGCAACGTGAGATCACTCAGATAAATGCTGTGGACATCGTGACATCAGGCAGGTGAACACCAGGTGACGCTGATGGAGCGTGGACGTCGTGACATCAGGCAGGTGAGCACCAGGTGACGCTGATGGAGCGTGGACGTCGTGACATCAGGCAGGTGAACACCAGGTGACGCTGATGGAGCGTGGACGTCGTGACATCAGGCAGGTGAGCACCAGGTGACGCTGATGGAGCGTGGACGTCGTGACATCAGGCAGGTGAACACCAGGTGACGCTGATGGAGCGTGGACGTCGTGACATCAGGCAGGTGAGCACCAGGTGACGCTGATGGAGCGTGGACGTCGTGACATCATGTAGACTTTCACAGTTGTTTGTGTATTTGTTGGAGTATCTGATTTAATTCATGGTGAATTTAATATTAGAGTTAAGCATTCCTTCGTCAACGGAACTTGGACCTTCATATCCCTGTGATACACTCACACTCTCAAGACCTTTTCTTACCTGTTTCAGTTTATTATAGTAAAGTTGCCGGCGGTGCTCAGGTCTCCTCCCCATGTCCCCTCTGTCTTCGTTCGTTTTCTCACCCTATCTCCCATTGTCTCATCTTCACTCCTCATTCTTCCCGTACTAAGCTCTTTCCTATCCTCTTCCCCCTCTTTTCCCTTCTACTCACATCTTCAACCCTCTTCCTCCCCTCTCTCTCTCTTTCTATCTCCCCCAACGTCCTTTCTCTCACCTCCCAACCCCCCTCCCCCTCCCCCCTCCCTGTCTCTCGGAAGATACACTCCCAACAAACACAGACCGTAACCACAACGTTATTTACACAATTAGCATGTGATGTAATGTTGTAAAAACGTACATACAAAACGTTGCAGTTACATTGTGTGTAAGTTGAAATATTATGATTTTTTTATTAACACATTGGGTACATCGGCATTTGTGCAGCTGCCCTAGACTATATGAAGGGGAGTACAGTGTGTCAAAAAGCTAGCTACGTGATGCTAAAAAAATCCCCATCACACAGGATGGTTAGTCATACAGAGGCATGTGATCAGTAGTCTGCACTGGCAGACTCCGGGTGCATTATGAGGATATCATCAACACAAGAGTGCATAAGGCAGCAATGATACTAAATTTTTTTTTATTAAGTTATGAGGTACATCTGCATTAGTGCAGCTACCCTAGACTATATGAAGTGGAGTACAGTGTGTCAAAAAAGCTTACTAGGTGATGCTATAAAATCCCCATCACACAGGATGGTTAGTCATACAGAGGCATGTGATAAGCGGTCTGCACTGGCAGACTCCGGATGCATTTTGAGGATATCAACAACACAAGATTGAATAAGGTAGCAGTGGTAATACAAGTCCCCATCTCGCAGGATGGTTAGTCATACAGAGCCATGTGTTTAATAGCCTGCACTGGCAAATTTTGGGTATACTGTGAGGATATCTTCAAGAATACGAGAGTGAATAAAGTAATTGCAAAGCTCCAGGTACCTCATGCCAACTGGTCTGAAAGGTCTAATAACTGGGCATTCAGTGATGTAGTGCGGGAGATCATGCCGTAGTTCCTGCTCACAGAGTTTGCAACTGGAGTGCTCAGGATTGGGAGACCCGTCACCTGCAGCCACCTGCCACAGGTAACGGTAACCCAACCTGATCCTTGCAACCACTGTGTCGCACAGTCTAGTGGACGTTTTGTGCTGTCCATAGATGTAGGTTTCAGATCTGAACAAATCATAGCTTTTTATACTAGTACTTTCAGGTCGTTGGGAGTCAGTAAGTTCTTTCCTATCAGATCTGAATGTTTGGACCAATACAGTTTTGACAGCAGAGATGGGGATACCTAGATCTAATTCAACTTCAAACTTGTTACACGCTAATTTGGCTAATTTCGCTAATTTGATACTAAAAGTCCCCAACTCGCAGTTGAAAACTCTTAGGAAACGAAACCCACATTTCAGACTTCGCAGTAGGCGCTGGGATTCGGAATAAGAGCAGATCTTTCTTACAAGGGTGGGGGGGGGGGGGGAGCACTGTTACAGACCCCTGACTGACCTATGACAGTCCCATACCACCCATATGTGTCATTTTAGAAGAGTTGAGCGAGGCTAGCCCCAAGCGTCTAGCCTCCAACCTTGGACAGAGAAAACAGAAACATAAAAAACAATCTAAGTGTTTCAAGCAGTTTATACAGGTTGTACAAAACATCAATAAACAAGTAGGACATATTCATAAATATATTTGCATTTAATATTATCATGAACACGGTACAGCGGTGGTGAACAACACTGTACCCACCTCCCACAACCCAATCCCCGCCCCCCATACAAACAACCCCCCACTACATGGAGCCCTTACCCCCCACCCCTGTCACCCCCATCTCCCCCCCCCCCTGGACCCCTCCTACTCAGTACTCTCCCTCCATATTATCTCTCACTATTCTCCCCATCTCCACCCTCCTCCTCCCTCCATTGTTTTCACCTCTTGTTGTTCTCTCAGTCCGCTGTTTGAGGTAACACAAAACTTCTTAGTAGTGGGCGCGTCTTGACCAAGTAGTGAGAGTGCACAGTGTCTGGTGGACCGTCACGGGTCAGACGGATGTGAAGGGCTAGACGGGGAGTGGACAGTGTCTGGTGGACCGTCCCGGGACGGAGGGTCGTGGAGCGCTATACGAGGGAGGAAGGTATATGCTAATATGCCCTCCTATAACCTATAATTATCTTCGTCCCCATGACTGTTAATGGGCGCCCGAGGGCCTTGTGCAATACCTGACCCTAAGCTGGGACTCACCCGAGTCCCAGCTAGGCCTCGTCCAAGCTTCACCTGAGCCCAGCACCTGAGCCTAGCACCTGAGCCTGGCACCTGAGCCTAGCACCTGAGCCTAGCGCCTGAGCCTAGCACCTGAGCCCAGCACCTGAGCCTAGCAACTGAGCCCAGCACCTGAGCCTAGCGCCTGAGCCTAGCACCTGAGCCCAGCACCTGAGCCCAGCACCTGAGCTTAGCGCCTGAGCCTAGCACCTGAGCCCAGCACCTGAGCCCAGCACCTGAGCTTAGCGCCTGAGCCTAGCACCTGAGCCCAGCACCTGAGCCCAGCACCTGAACCTAGCGCCTGAGCCCAGCACCTGAGCCTAGCGCCTGAGCCTAGTGCCTGAGCCCAGCACCTGAGCCCAGCACCTGAGCCCAGCACCTGAGCCCAACGCCTGAGCCTAGTGCCTGAGCCCAGCACCTGAGCCCAGCACCTGAGCCTAGCACCTGAGCCCAACGCCTGAGCCCAGCACCTGAGCCCAGCACCTGAGCCCAGCACCTGAGCCTAGCGCCTGAGCCTAGTGCCTGAGCCCAGCACCTGAGCCCAGCACCTGAGCCTAGCACCTGAGCCCAACGCCTGAGCCCAGCACCTGAGCCCAGCACCTGAGCCCAGCACCTGAGCCTAGCACCTGAGCCTAGCACCTGAGCCTAGCGCCTGAGCCCAGCACCTGAGCCCAGCGCCTGAGCCCAGCACCTGAGCCCAGCACCTGAGCCCAGCACCTGAGCCCAGCACCTGAGCCCAGCACCTGCACGTAGCATAATCCTTCACTATCAGTAGCAAGTAACGCGTCGTGTTTGGGGGATGCAGCACCCACACCATGTACTCGCTACCCGCTCCTTATCACACACACGAAAATGTATATTATATATATATATATATATATATATATATATATATATATATATATATATATATATATATATTATAATATATATATATATATATATATATATATATATATATATATATATATATATATATATATATTAATGACCACATTTTTGGTAGAAAATAACTGTTACCAAAAATCCTTCACTGCCAAGCTCTCCCCATTACATTCACGCCTCCCACCCTCCTCCTTTTTTCTATAGCTGCCAGAAGAGAGAACGAAGTGACAATGAAGAGCCTAAAGTTAGTGATTTATGACGAAGTTAAATCAAAGTTGATAACTCAAAGGACCGAGAGCACAAACCCCGATGCAACAACAATAGTAGATAAATAACTGAGGTGCTCCCTAATGTAATGTTCCCCAGGCAATACCAGACAGATCAAAGCTGCTAGTAACAGGAAGCTTCAATCATGAACAAAGTGACTCTGAACTAATGGAACTAACAGGGGGAGAAGAGACATAGAAAGCAGAGCTGATAGACGCAGTAGCTGGGCACACTCTGGTGGAACATAATAAGAAGGAAGCAACAAAGAGTATAAGCGAACCAGAAAGACTTGACCTGGTGTTCACACAGAAGAAGAAGAGAGGCATTGAGAGCATGGAGCATGAAATGCTACACGTGTGGACCCGTGACCACTGTGTACTGGTCCTTGTTGTTACCAAGGCTGTGGCAAGAGGACAAGAATGAAACATTAGTCTGAAATAATTGTGCACCAGAAAGGTTTAAACAAATTTTAGAGAATACTGTGGGAAATAAAACGCAAGAGAAAAAAACCACGCAAGACATGATGGACATCATACTGAACAACTGCAAAGTGGATGAGAGATCTATACCGCCTATAAGACATTAAGAAGCCAAGATTAACACATCCATGGTTTTACAGGCAATGAATGGAGATAAAAGGACAAGACAGTAAGCACAAAACAGAGATGAACTACAGCATAAATATATAAAAAATGCGAATGAATACGCAGCAATTTAGAGAACAGTAGAGAAGCAGTATAAAAATGACCTGGCATTCAACGCCAAGGACCAGCGTAAAGTATTTATGTAGCCACATTAGAAGGCAGATGTGGGTAAATCACCAAGCCATCAGAATGCACAAAGACTGATATGGAAGTGTGTGTGTGTGTGTGTGTGTGTGTGTGTGTGTGTGTGTGTGTGTGTGTGTGTGTGTGTGTGTGTAGACCTTAACTGAAGCTTCCGAGAAGTTTTCATGATGAACCTATGGCTGCCCTTCATGATGAACCTATGGCTGCCCTTCATGATGAACCCATGGCTGCCCTTCATGATGAACCCATGGCTGCCCTTCATGATGAACCCATGGCTGCCCCTCACGATGAACCCATGGCTGCCCCTCATGATGAACCCATGGCTGCCCTTCATGATGAACCCATGGCTGCCCTTCACGATGAACCCATGGCTGCCCTTCATGATGAACCCATGGCTGCCCTTCATGATGAACCCATGGCTGCCCTTCATGATGAACCCATGGCTGCCCCTCACGATGAACCCATGGCTGCCCTTCATGATGAACCCATGGCTGCCCTTCATAATGAACCCATGGCTGCCCTCTGATCCCCGCTTTCTAAGACAAAAGATACTACCAGAAGAAAGGCTGACCGACATAAAAGGGACACCAGAATAAACAAAAAATCCACTAGAGAAGCTGATGTAATGAAAGCCACAGACTCACACAAGATCTTTATTACGGCTACTAAAAGAGGCAGTCACAGCTTTCTGTAGACCTCTCGCTATACTTGTAAACTTTATAATATGAACTGTATTTTATAATAACATATATATATATATATATATATATATATTAGTATATATAATTTTGGGATACTTATATCTAGGGGTACTTATAGCTAGGTCAGGCTACTGTAAGTGCTCTGGCTCTGTTGGGAACTGCTTCAGCTCAGCACCAAAACACTGGCAGAGTTCTGCATCTCCTTCTCCCTCCTCTGTTTATGGGAGAAAAAACATCTGACGAATGCGCTTTTTGAGGGAAAACTGCGGCTTGGACGAGCATAGTCTGAGGATACGTTGCTCCAGAGAAATGCGATGGAGCACAAGGTGACAGCGAAAGACTCAAGAAAAGTACGACTGTAATCAGTTGTGAGTCGTCCATAAAGTGTTTCTCATTCATAAACAGTGGGTTTGGCGGTCGGATTAACGAGCATTTAACCAATATTTTGATGATGAGCTTCTGTGTTCAAGAGGATGGGCTCTTCTGGTAGAGAGACGGTGTCGTATTTTAGAGGCCCAAGTTGAGCAGAAAGGTCTGTTGGTGTGTGAGGGACTGAAGTATGTACGCAGGGAATACATGCGTACTTTACGAATATAATACACTGAATAGACTCGAAACACTGCATAGAATTGAAAAACTGAATAGAATTGAAACACTGAATAGAATTGAAACACTGAAAATTGAACGCATTTCTTGAATTAAGAGTAATAAACAGATATATAATAAGATCTGTATTGCAGGCGACGCAATCGACTTGAGAATGGTCCAGGACGGACCGAAACGTCCGTCGTCGTCCCTTCACTTTCTAGTGTGTGGTCTAGTCAACAAAGATCTGTATTGGTTCGTGCCCATATTTGAAGGTCAAATTACAGAGATCAGATGCTTGTCACATAGTGAGGGCGGGGGGGGGGGTGTTTATCACGTAGAGAGCATCACTGAAAGCGGGAAGCTCACTCCCAACACTGAAGAAAACGCGCCCATAACACCCCGATTTACACACACACATATAACTCCCATATTTCCTTAGTTAAGAATTCAGGTATGCAAGGTATGGCTTCCAGGTATTTCCAATTAGTCCCGAGTGGTAACTGGTGATGCCAGGTAAATAGCCAATTTCAGAGCGCCTGGTAGCACCTCATTACACATAATATATATCACCTGCTTTAGAGGCGTCCGTCTGGACCCCTCTCGTAGAGTTATGATGGTAACGGGTAATGTGGGCGAGTGCCAACTTTCCTCACACACTCTCATAATATAGACATTTATATTGAAATTTATTAAAACAAACTAAATGAAAATACCTTTAATTGGAAATTAAATAACGTATATATATATATATATATATATATATATATATATATATATATATATATATATATATATATATATATATATATATATTACAAATAGGAGACAAATCCACTTTTAAGATGTAAGAAGCAGCTATAGTGTGGCATGGAAGAGTTAGGACACTTCAAGTCCGTAAAGTCCCGCAGCTCGAGTACGGTACGAGAGGAAGTGACTTGGACTGTGGGGGATTTAGGTCATAGCCAATCACTGGACTCCTGAAGTTATTCGACCTTTGGAAAAACAGGCTAAGGAAATTATCAGGAAGCATGGCTAAATAGCACTTAGAAGGGGTATGAGGTCAGACTAAGAGTTGGGATGTGAGGTCAGACTAAGAGTTGGGATGTGAGGACAGGCTGAGTTGAGATGTGAGGTCAGACTAAGAGTTGGGATGTGAGGACAGAGTTGGGATGTGAGGTCAGACTAAGAGTTGGGATGTGAGGACAGGCTAAGAGTTGGGATGTGAGGACTAAGAGCTGGGATATGAGGACAGACTAAGGGCTGGGATATGGGGACAAACTAAGAGCTGGGATATGAGGACAGACTAAGAGTTGGGATATAAGGAGAGACTAAGAGCTGGGATATAAGGACGGGACGAAGGAACAGTGCCCAAACACTTGGCCCATTAGATACTGAAATTTCAATCTGTAAAAAGCTAGGAAGTCGCTGTGCCGGCCAGTCCAAGTGACTGGACCAATGAAACATAAAAAAACAGATAAAATCAAGCCCTATGGACCGATCACACCGAGAAGATGGAGATAAAAGTAGCTTTATTGTTTTAGTAAATGTTATCAAACTTAAAAAAATATATATAGGCTTAAATATATAGCTGTGAATAATGTGCGTGTTTCGTTCCACATGTTCACATAGCATCTTTAGTGACAACTGGTACATAATGCATAATTGTATACGGAACCGTCTCCTCAGTGGTTCTCTCGTGAATAATGTTAACTGCTGACTGGAACGGTTATTCGTAGAGTACCCAAACCTAACCTAACTGTTTCTACGTTTATGTGATTCTGTTGATGGTCTTAATAGCTTTGTTTGCAGTCGTTACCTTCTTGCCATTAACTCATTCAAAACAAGACGCCAATCAAAACTCGCGTTACGCTTGGATTTAAGTGTTTCCTCTTGTGAGTGGATGCTGCGTACAACAGATTCGAGACGCCCTTCTTTCAGAAGCAATTCGATGTCCTCCTTTGATAACGTGGATCGCGTGCTGAAAGAATGCAACAACATCAGTAGGGTCTGCATATTTAAACTTATTCTCGTTGACCAAACCACACACTAGAAAGTGAAGAGACAACGACGTTTCGTCGCAATCGACTTGAGAATGGTCCAGGACGGACCGAAACGTCATCGTTCCTTCACTTTCCAGTGTGTGGTTTGGTCAACATATTTCAGCCACGTTATTGTGACTCCTCGTCTGCTTATTCTCGTTGTCTGGGACAGAAAGCCTGTACTCAGGCTTATCGAGATCCTCCTTGGCAAATTACTGACTTTTCCCACGGTGAAACCCACAACAGCTGTCTAACCCACAAGCACCTATTTTACTGGTACGCGAACAGAGGCATTGTGTGAAAAGAAACGTGCCCAGCCGTTTCTGTCCTGCCCGGGGATTGAACCCCGGGTACCTCGGGAGTGAGCCGAGGGCGTAGACCACTGTGATACGTGCGCTTATTACTTCACGGAGACACGTTAAAATGACGGCATCAAGGTCACCTCTTGGTCAATAACTGGAGGAGTTCGTCCCAGGCCATCGTCTGCAGCTGTAGGGCGCTCAGATACACCTTGTCGTCCTCCGCCTTCGCCTCGTCGGCTCCCTGAGATGGAAGAGAAGATATCGTTGTTGAATGCCTCAAAATTAGTGACTTAATTTTAACTGTCGTCACTCCTTGAGCCGCGTGATGCATACACGAACCGATATGAATAATGGCAATGAAAACTATGATATATAGCCACAATGGATAAATAAGCGAAGGTATATTTTTATTGTTATATTAATTAAAACGCATCTTGAAATATATTGGTGGTGATAATCTCGAGTTAGATAATCCTACCCACCAGGTTTTGGTAAGTGATCCTGTAGGCGTGTTGGTGCGCCATGTGTAGAGGGACCTCCCTCGTCCCGTGCAGTACCAGCTCCAAGTCCCCGATACTTCCGTTTTCTTTGACGCCAGACTGTATGTTGAAGAAAACTCTTCCAATGTAAACTTTTGTAAATAGTACATCAATATTGTTCCTAATTGTAAATTTGCAATATATTTCTAGCAATAAAATTTAAGTTAAAGGCATAACATAAATGTTATGTTATTTATGTTATGGGGGGGGGGGTTGAAGATGTTGATTCGAAACGCTTTGCGTAATACTGGCTTCATTAGTATGTATAACTCTACCAGTTTCCGTGGTGTTGTGGTTAAGAGACTCTCCTGGCGTTTCACGAGCACTTTATCCTGGGTTCGTATCTTTGCAGGGAAGATTTATTGGGCTCAAGTCATTAACTGTTTACCCAACAGTAAAATGACTACCTGGCCACTGTGGCTTGCCCTTACACAATGTCTCGGAATTAAGCTATTTCTACCCCTTTGAGATGTATTTCTTTCTTGTCTCAATAAACATACTTGAACTTGAACTCGGAATTATGACCCGGCCTTCTTTTACTCACAATCAAGGCGTTTGGTCGTAATTCCGGATGTAACCTGAAACAATGACAGACAACATGTCCTTTCTTGTGACAATAATTACATTGTTTGACATCAGCCGAACTTGTCGAACCTGATGTGGCTCTACTAGAGTTAACAGTACCCTTAGATTTACTAGATGCCTCGTCTGCTCTGGCTGTTAGAGCAGACTTAACATTGTAATGACTACTCTTTGACTTCTCAGAATGAGCCACTAGCTAATGTACAGCCACTGTACACGCTACGTGTGCTAGTGGCTGTACAAGAAAGCAAGAACTCTTGTATATATAAATAAACAAATAAATAAAATAAACTCCTGTCCATACAATTGTACATTTACTAATATGTTCTTTGTACACACATTCTTTGGAATAAACAATGAAGTGAATTGTGTGCGTTGGGTTAACTATTCTCTGCATGACTTACGAGGTTCTGAAGAAAATACTCGTCTGATGAAAAAATGCTTGTGTCGGCTCTCTGGGGTAATAATGCTACACAAGATGTTTGGTGTAGTACACCACCTGCACATCACACTTGGCTACACGCAAAACAAAACAAATGGAACACTCTGAACATCCTCGTCACGGCCCTTGTGGATTTGTTTAAAAAAAAATGGAAGTTCAATAACAAAGAAAAACATAAGGATAGAGAACACAGTCGAAAGCCTATGCAAGGCATCTCCTATATATTCTCAACCAAACTCATTATTATATATATATATTATATATATATATATATATATATATATATATATATATATATATATATATATATATATATATATATATATATATATATATATATATATATGTCGTACCTAGTAGCCAGAACTCACTTCTCAGCCTACTATGCAAGGCCCGATTTGCCTAATAAGCCAAGTTTTCATGATATAATGTTTTTTCGTCTACCTAACCTACCTAACCTAACCTAACCTAACCTAGCTTTTTTTGGCTACCTAACCTAACCTTACCTAAATATATAGAGGAGAGGTTAGGTTAGGTAGGGTTGGTTAGGTTCGGTCATATATCTACGTTAATTTTAACTCCAATAAAAAAAAATTGACCTCATACATAGTGAAAAGGGTAGCTTTATCATTTCATAAGAAAAAAATTATAGTAAATAAATTAATTCAGGAAAACTTGGCTTATTAGGCAAATCGGGCCTTGAATAGTAGGCTGAGAAGTGAGTTCTGGCTACTAGGTACGACATATATATATATATATATATATATATATATATATATATATATGCAAACAAGCCTGAATGGTCCCCAGGACTATATACAACTGAAAACTCACACCCCAGAAGTGACTCGAACCCATACTGCCAGGAGCAACGCAACTGGTATGTACAGGGATGCCTTAATCCGCTTGACCATCACGACCGGACATAAGGAAGTGATAGCCGAAGCTATTTGAACCACTTCCCCGCCGGCACTCGGATGGTAATCTTGGGCATAGCATTTTATCAAATCACCTCATTCTAGCTTCGGCTATCACTTCCTTATGTCCGGTCGTGATGGTCAAGCGGATTAAGGCGTCCCTGTACATACCAGTTGCGTTGCTCCTGGCAGTATGGGTTCGAGTCACTTCTGGGGTGTGAGTTTTCAGTTGTATATAGTCCTGGGGACCATTCAGGCTTGTTTGCATTTGTGTTCCTCACGTGTGCCCCAAAGAATGAGGTGATTTGATAAAATGCTATGCCTAAGATTACCATCCGAGTGCCGGCGGGGAAGTGGTTCAAATAGCTTCGGCTATCACTTCCTTATGTCCGGTCGTGACGGTCAAGCGGATTAAGGCGTCCCTGTACATACCAGTTGCGTTGCTCCTGGCAGTATGGGTTCGAGTCACTTCTGGGGTGTGAGTTTTCAGTTATATATATATATATATATATATATATATATATATATATATATATATATATATATATATATATATATATATATATATATATATATATATATATATGTCGTACCTAGTAGCCAGAACTCACTTCTGAGCCTACTATGCAAGGCCCGATTTGCCTAATAAGCCAAGTTTTCATGAATTAATTGCTTTTCGACTACCTAACCTACCTAACCTAACCTAACCTAACTTTTTCGGCTACCTAACCTAACCTAACCTATAAAGATAGGTTAGGTTAGGTTAGGTAGGCTTGGTTAGGTTCGGTCATATATCTACGTTAATTTTAACTCCAATAAAAAAAAATTGACCTCTTACATAATGAAATAGGTTGCTTTATCATTGCATAAGAAAAAAATTAGAGAAAATATAATAATTCATGAAAACTTGGCTTATTAGGCAAATTGGGCCTTGCATTGTAGGCTGAAAAGTGAGTTCTGGCTACTAGGTACGACATATATATATATATATATATATATATATATATATATATATATATATATATATATATAACACAACACCTATACCCCCTATTAGACTATTTTACAGGAACTTCTTTTCCACAGCTCATAAAACGGAGGATAGGGTCCTGAAAGATATTGTTAATAGAAACGTTATCCCTACAGACAAAAATCAGAGGATACAACTGACGATTTACTATAAAACCAGAAAAACGGCCAGCCTACTCATGAGAAACTCTCCAGACACAAAACAGAACGCTTTAAAAGAGACTAACGTCGTCTATGCCTTCAAATGCCCTCTTGGGGACTGTAAGCTCAAAAAAACCCAGTATATAGGCAAGACAACAACATCTCTTTCTAGGCGTTTAACGATGCATAAGCAACAGGGCTCCATTAAGGAACATATAATCTCTTCCCACAACCAAACCATCGCCAGAGAAATCCTAGTAAACAACACAGAAATCATCGATAGATACAGCGATAGCAGGCGGCTTGACGTTTGCGAGGCACTACACATCAAGAAGTCAACACCAGCAATCAACAGCCAATTAATGCACAACTATATTCTACCCACCTCAAGACTCCGCTCCAATATAGAAGCATCAAGAAATATGGTCCAATAGGCTTTCTACAATCACTTCTATTCAATACCCATTGTTTCGTGTTCTGTCTTGTGTTGATGAAATTAATACCCTATTAATGCCACCTCTTGTTCTGTCTTGTGTTGATGAAATTAATACCCTATTAATGCCACCTCACCCCATCCACCTCTCTCAAATGTAGATATAAAAACAAAATCGGAGATGCGTAAGTTCTATTCAGTTGTGTATTTGTAAACTAAAGTCTTTGAAAATGTAATAAGTTTTACGAAACGCGCTCGTGTCGCGTCAGACTAGAAATAAAAATGAATTTTGGAGAATTGATTTATGATTTACCTCCAACAGTGAAAAGAAATGTACGAAAGATTGAGAAAATTCGTGTTAGAATTATTAATCTTACTTTTTCGGTCATATTTAATAATATATAGCTATATATATATATATATATATATATATATATATATATATATATATATATATATATATATATATATATATATATGTCTAATCTACGCTTGAAACAACAAATCTAGCGATCACACGTATATTATGTACAATTGTGGCTGCCACAATAAGATCACTGTCTGATAACACTCAACTGCGATACCTCAATAAGAATCTGGTACCTTGAAATTGCACGGTACATCAAAGCAAACTCCACTATTACCGTAACCCTAAAAATGCAATTTTGCGCGAAATATTTTGCCTATTAAAAGAACTTAATTACTATATAGTATATATATATATATATATATATATATATATATATATATATATATATATATATATATATATATAATATATATAGGCACTTATTGTACAAGTCTTAAACAGAACTGTAATTTCTCGAATGGAATTACGTCCAAGTATGACTAGGCCCAAGGGAGAGACATGCGTGTGTACTAACCGTGTCGGAGATGTTGAGGGTCCAGACGCCGGAGGGATCCTCACCCCAGGTGTGGACAGTCATGAAGGCCCATCTGGTGAACCCCTTGGAGGACCTGTCACTCACCCGCTCCGTCAGCAGGGTTGATGCCGTCCCTGTGGTAAACACACATCACTCAAGGGTATTACACATTAACCACTCTATCATCCATTCATGCAACACTACCAAATCATCTTCGGACCAAGTTTATTAATAAAACGAACTGATGACTTCTGAGACCATTTTGAGCATCTGTAACATTTTCAACAACCACCCACAGGATGGGAATGGGGTTAACTACCACTCACAGGATGGGAATGGGATTAACTACCACTCACAGGATGGGAATGGGATTAACTACCACTCACAGGGTGGGAATGGGGTTAACTACCACTCACAGGATGGGAATGGGGTTAACTACCACTCACAGGATGGGAATGGGGTTAACTACCACTCACAGGATGGGAATGGGGTTAACTACCACTCACAGGATGGGAATGGGGTTAACTACCACTCACAGGATGGGAATATGGGCCCGCTACCACTGGAGTTCATAATAAAGGATCTAAACTAACACACTGGGGTCTAATGTGGTAATGAAGACTCACCCTGGAGGAAGGTGAGTGTGACTATGGACTCACCCTGGGGACTGGTGAGTGTGACTATGAACTCACCCTGGGGACTGGTGAGTGTGACTATGAACTCACCCTGGGGACTGGTGAGTGTGACTATGAACTCACCCTGGGGACTGGTGAGTGTGACTATGAACTCACCCTGGGGACTGGTGTGACTATGGACTCACCCTGGGGACTGGTGAGTGTGACTATGGACTCACCCTGGGGACTGGTGAGTGTGACTATGAACTCACCCTGGGGACTGGTGAGTGTGACTATGGACTCACCCTGGGGACTGGTGAGTGTGACTATGAACTCACCCTGGGGACTGGTGAGTGTGACTATGAACTCACCCTGGGGACTGGTGAGTGTGACTATGAACTCACCCTGGGGACTGGTGAGTGTGACTATGAACTCACCCTGGGGACTGGTGTGACTATGGACTCACCCTGGGGACTGGTGAGTGTGACTATGAACTCACCCTGGGGACTGGTGAGTGTGACTATGGACTCACCCTGGGGACTGGTGAGTGTGACTATGGACTCACCTTGGGGACTGGTGAGTGTGACTATGAACTCACCCTGGGGACTGGTGAGTGTGACTATGGACTCACCCTGGGGACTGGTGAGTGTGACTATGGACTCACCCTGGGGACTGGTGAGTGTGACTATGGACTCACCCTGGGGACTGGTGAGTGTGACTATGGACTCCCCCTGGGGACTGGTGAGTGTGACTATGAACTCACCCTGGGGACTGGTGAGTGTGACTATGAACTCACCCTGGGGACTGGTGAGTGTGACTATGAACTCACCCTGGGGACTGGTGAGTGTGACTATGAACTCACCCTGGGGACTGGTGAGTGTGACTATGGACTCACCCTGGGGACTGGTGAGTGTGACTATGAACTCACCCTGGGGACTGGTGAGTGTGACTATGAACTCACCCTGGGGACTGGTGTGACTATGGACTCACCCTGGGGACTGGTGAGTGTGACTATGAACTCACCCTGGGGACTGGTGAGTGTGACTATGGACTCACCCTGGGGACTGGTGAGTGTGACTATGGACTCACCTTGGGGACTGGTGAGTGTGACTATAAACTCACCCTGGGGACTGGTGAGTGTGACTATGGACTCACCCTGGGGACTGGTGTGACTATGGACTCACCCTGGGGACTGGTGAGTGTGACTATGAACTCACCCTGGGGACTGGTGAGTGTGACTATGAACTCACCCTGGGGACTGGTGTGACTATGGACTCACCCTGGGGACTGGTGAGTGTGACTATGAACTCACCCTGGGGACTGGTGAGTGTGACTATGGACTCACCCTGGGGACTGGTGTGACTATGGACTCACCCTGGGGACTGGTGAGTGTGACTATGAACTCACCCTGGGGACTGGTGAGTGTGACTATGAACTCACCCTGGGGACTGGTGAGTGTGACTATGGACTCACCCTGGGGACTGGTGTGACTATGGACTCACCCTGGGGACTGATGAGTGTGACTATGGACTCACCCTGGGGACTGGTGAGTGTGACTATGGACTCACCCTGGGGACTGGTGAGTGTGACTATGAACTCACCCTGGGGACTGGTGAGTGTGACTATGAACTCACCCTGGGGACTGGTGAGTGTGACTATGAACTCACCCTGGGGACTGGTGAGTGTGACTATGAACTCACCCTGGGGACTGGTGAGTGTGACTATGGACTCACCCTGGGGACTGGTGAGTGTGACTATGGACTCACCCTGGGGACTGGTGAGTGCGACTATGGACTCACCCTGGGGACTGGTGAGTGTGACTATGGACTCACCCTGGGGACTGGTGAGTGTGACTATGAACTCACCCTGGGGACTGGTGAGTGTGACTATGGACTCACCCTGGGGACTGGTGAGCGTGACTATGGACTCACCCTGGGGACTGGTGAGTGTGACTATGGACTCACCCTGGGGACTGGTGAGTGTGACTATGGACTCACCCTGGGGACTGGTGAGTGTGATGGTGAGGGCGCCCCTCCTGGTGTAGTTGACGGTGGCCACCAGCTGGACATGCTCGAGGGAGATCACTTCGTTGTCCCCGCCCTTACACCCGTCGCTGGCGAATTCCACCATAACCCATCCTCTGCTCTCCAGGGCATCACCCGACCTGTCTCCGGATCACAGAAACGTTCATTTATTGCTTATTGCATAATGCCAGCTTCAGCTGCAATGCAAGAGGAATACCTCAGAGCGGATATAAATAATCTTTGTACAATATCTCTATATCTCTTAACTCAGGTAATGCTGGAAGCAGCTGGACACTGCTACAGGTCACCGATAGTTACGCACGAGGAGCAGAACAAATGCTACAAAACTACAAAGCAAAGGAGAGGAGGCAAACACTCTTGTCCTTTCTTACTTCAGTGACTTGAAACATATATGTAAGAATACATGAGAAGTAATGTTGAAGAATGATGGACACATTTATAACATTCTCAATTGTATGTAGACTTCCTGTGGTACTCAATTAGGCAATTAAGGTAGCACAAACAATTCTGCAGTTATATGGACAACCTGATCTACTGAACCGATGGCTTACTGGGCGGCAAGTGAGTTGCTTGGTGCGCCTATAGCTACAGCAGTAAGATTGATGAAGATTAAGCCACCCAAGAGGTGGCACGGGCATGAATAGCCCGTCACACAATAGTAGTACTACTCCTCACCTATGTTTTAATTAGTAGATATTTGAATAAGAGTTAAAAGCTTCTAGTAACCGCAGTTTGTGTGAAGGAGGGTCCCTGTCCTCAGACTAACACCTCGTTCACTGTCCCTCGATGTAACACCCCTACTAGTGTAACACCACTACTAGTGTAACACCCCTACTAGTGTAACACCACTATAAAATATATACTAAACTAATAATGTAACACTTCTTGAGGTTATCTTGAGATGATTTCGGGGCTTTTTAGTGTCCCCGCGGCCCGGTCCTCGACCAGGCCTCCACCCCCAGGAAGCAGCCCGTGACAGCTGACTAACACCCAGGTACCTATTTTACTGCTAGGTAACAGGGGCATAGGGTGAAAGAAACTCTGCCCAATGTTTCTCGCCGGCGCCTGGGATCGAACCCAGGACCACAGGATCACGAGTCCAGCGTGCTGTCCGCTCGGCCGACCGGCTCACTTAAATACTTATCCTGAGTAACACTTCCCATCGGTTGCACTTGGTAACACTGTTATTGAACACTGTAATATGAGCTGACATATGATGGTTACACCGGAACTAAAAGGTACACTGCCAACAAAGAAATGCTACACAGGATTAAAAAAATACGCTGCCACCATCTGCCTTGACCATTGAGACTATATCAAGCAACGAGGCAAGAAACATTGCTTGACGTGGAGAGTACTTTCAATAACTGTCATTAATTATGGGAAGGTTGTCAGCCATTATATCCACAAAGCTAAGAGGATTCAACAATTGACACAGACTGGAAATTTAACACGAGTTTATTGAGAACAAAATTATGCTAATCACCAATTATAAATCCTACTCTAACACTGGCCAAGAGTTAAGAAATTTAGACATGGAACAAAACCTCAAAGATCACACACATTACCTTAAGACCGCTGTCTCTCCATCCGGTGGATTCACTCTGTCTCTCCCTGGCTGTGAGATGTTCTTCACAGACACACTCCCGACCCCGGTGTCCCGCACTCTGTCCCTAAGTCTCTACAGGACCAATATATATACACCCCCCAAAAAAAAGGGGGAAGGGGGATATTTACTGTTGCTACCTAGATCGAAGGTCGGGCCACACATGCACAAACACTCAAGAATTTTCATTAAACTTGTTTGACATTCACCATACACTGCTCAAGAGAGGAATTATTAATTATGTGTGTGACTGACCTTTGACCTGGCTAAAAGGGGGAGATCCATGGATGTTTACACATAAGAATCTGGGGTCTAATTCCATTGCAATGTTTGACAGGAGTATCATGAAATATTACATACTTGAAACTAGCTGACTAAGACTAACCCAGGAATTTTTTAATCAACATACAAGATAATCCGGAGGTCATCTGGGCTGACCTCTTGAAGAAGCTTCCCATGATGTGAACTCTAAGGGGGGGGGGGGGGAGGTCACACGTGTTACATCGAGATCTTGGTCACGAAAGGTCTCAACCGTCTGGGTTTCATTGGGTTAGGTGGGAAGAGTCAGAGAACCACGTAATAAATTTATAATGTTATTAAAGCTTAGTGTTAATTGCTTTTTATTCTCTCGTTTTGGAATGCTTTGTCAACTAGTATAACCAATGAACGTTTCTAAAGAGACAGTGTACACCCACGTAGGCTGGCGTACCTTCATGTTGAAGGACGCAACAAGGGTGTCACTCTCCAAGTGCTCCTCAGTGAAGCTTCTCACATCTTAGCCTCAAAGTTACTTAGCTTGTTTGATTAAAGTTCAATGAACTGTGAGGCGTGTGGCCGCCAAGTGCACACAAGCACATGGACACGCTGCGTCATGATTGATGATTGATTGTTGCCCCCGGAGGCGGCTAGTTTATTGTGCACCCCATACTCATCCTGTGAGCGGTAGCGCTAAAGCATTACAGAGGGCACAAAAGGTTGCGCCATGATGAACAATAACCTAACCTATTCTCACTGCCGCACCCAAGCTAATACAGCGCCAGTAAGATATATCTTATTACATTGTTACTTTCAAAACTGACTTAGCGGTATGTGTTGTTCTACACTTATACTTAGCATTTAGATAGTTTAAATGCAGGCACACGGATACATGGGCTCACGTGGTGTGAACATTGACAATAATAAACAGCAGCTTTGTCATGATCCTGTAATTCTACACATCTAAAATATTTTGTGTTAGTATTAGAGCTACTTTTAACATACAATATAATAATTTATTGTAAATTCATAGATAAGTATAAAGAAAAAACGTTTGTAACTAGCCGACTTTAAAATTGCAAGGTGTGCAGGATAGAGGTAATTGTTAAAGTAAAAATCTGCACTGAGGTCGGGCATTCTGTAATCCTTTTTAACGCTATCGCTCCTCAGTATGGGGTGCACAATAAACTAGTAGCCTCCGGCGGTAACAATTATGACTTCACAGTTCTCGAACAACATGGGAGAAGGAAAAGAAGTTTCGGAAATCTGCACAAGATGTCCTTCAAGATTCTGTATCCCACATATGTCAGTTCAATTATGGAATAAGCGGCTCTAGCGTGGAACCCAACTCTCTCTTTAGACACAAAACGAAGCTGAATGCAGTCTAGAGGTATACCACCAAACAGTAACCAAAGTTGAGAGGTATGATCGAGTTACAAGTAAGGTCAAAAGTAACTGAAGCTCACACCACACATAAAATTACATTCAAAGACAAACACGTAGATATATCGACATACGTTTCGGACACAGTTCCATCCTTGTGTGTTCGCTAAATATAAACAAAGTTTACTAAGGCATTTTGTCTTGCGTTCCCATCAAATTTCAGAGAAAGTCAGTGATCTCACCTGTTAGTGGGCGCCACCTTGCAGATCCTCTGTTCGGGCACGTTGGTCCAGTTCCTGACTGTGTCAACAAGACCTTCTGCACTCAATAGACCAAAACCGAAGCGCGGGTTGATCCTGAGCCCCCGGGCGTTGGTGATCCAGCCGCCGTTGTGAGCCAGGGGCGCCCACTCGCTGGACCACACCACGGCGTGCTGCACGTCCCGCCACGTCAGCCCCGGACTGTTGGAGGACCGCAGGGTCAGGCGGCCACGGAGGCAAGGGTATTATCAGAAGAAAGCGTGAAGCCAATATCATTATGCAGCACTTGCAAGGGTGGGAGAATAGATAAAGTGTTGAGATAATGTGAGGAGGAACAGTGCCCAACCACTTGCTACATCGGAATCGAACGCCGGCCCTGCAAGAAGCGAGGTCGTCGTTGGACCGCCCAGTCCAAGTGAATGGGCCAAGAAGGGAGGAAGGGGCCAAGAACTGTTGATGGATCACAGGTTGAGGAAGCGTAAGAGAGAGACCATAAAGTCTTGGCAGAACACACGGCATGAGAGAGTGAGATCCAGGGACCTTGGACTGATATTGAAATTGAAATTGAAATAAGTTTATTGAGGTAAAATACACACAAAGGGATGAGGTAGCTCAAGCTATTCTCACCCCGTCCAGTACAACGTGTTCATACATATATAGACACACATCACAAACAATAAATATATTGCCGAACATTCTGAGAACCTTGGACTGATATTGGGCCACATGTCAAGGGGAAAAAAATTACCCTAAGCAGCTGGTGATGGACAGGGTGAGTAAGCGTGAGAGACACTCTAAATCCTTCGTGAATTATAGGGTGAGGGAGAGACCCAAATTTATGCTGTTGGTGAACTACAAGGTGATGGAGGGTGGGAGATAACTTGGGGTGTAGGTGGACCATAGGGTGAGGGAGGGATGACTGTGGGTTCTATTCCAGGGATGGGCAACCTTTTTGAGAGTGCGTGCCAAAATCAGCCAAGTCTCTGACACAAACTTTTTCCACATGCCAACTATTTTTTTTTAGAACATATTTGGTATCTCTTAAGAACTTTTTAAACGAAAAAATAATAAATTATCTCAGTGCAGTAAAACATAGTATAAAAAAACAGAAAAAAAATTTATTTAACCTTCAGAAGTACATTTCAACAGCCTTTAAGCTTTTGTGACTTTAATAGAATACAACAGATAAAAAACTAGTTGACTCCTTTTATATACTGTCAGTGAGACTTCTGCTGCTGCATAACTGGTGACAGATTTTACATCGGGTTTATATTTAGTAACATTGAGAGATATGCATGCAGCGCTAGTTTCATCTGTCATGCTACTCCTGTTACGAGACTTAACAAAGTTCATAATTGAGAACAAAGATTCGCAAGCATATGTAGACGAAAACATGGTTAGCAATGCTGTTGCAAGGTTTTTTAAACAGACATAATTTTCTGGAATAGTATTCCAAGTCCTTAATACTTCGTTTTCCGCATTTCTCTTTGTTACTTTCATCTCTAATCTCTCTCTTTCAATATTTTCCAAGTCAACTCTAAGGTCAACAAATTTCTGCTTCCAAATTAAGCTACTCTGAAATTCAATCAACTGCATCTCAAAATCATCCATGTCTATCCATGAAAACATTTGCAAGTTTAGTTCATCCATTTTGATGCTGTCTGAAAACTTGATGAACTTTACTGTGTCTTCCAGTTCTCTGAATTTGGCAAATCTTGTAGAGAACTGCCAAACTGTTGACTCGATAATGTTTACAAACAGCTTTTGAAGACATTTGTGGTCTGTTCTGTCATCTTTTAGATCACTGATGTACCTCTTTAGGTTTGGAAAGTATCTAAATCTCTCATTATCTACATCCCTCTTAAAAACTTTAAGCTTCATTTCAAAAGCTTTTATGTAACCAAACATAACATCAAGTGTCTTACCAGCGCCCTGTAACTTAATATTCAATTCATTTAAATGTTCACAAAAATCTGCAAAAACATCAGTTTACAGACCCACACGATGTCAGAAAATTCATGGTATGACACTTGTTGGTTGTTCAAATAGAGCTTTATCTCATCTATCTCATCTAAGCATTCAATAAATCGTTTCAGAACCAAGCCTCTGCTAAGCCAACGAACATGGTTGTACATTTTCAGTCCTTTATACACAGATTCTACCTCATCCAGTAGAGTTTGAAATTGTCTTTTATTTAAAGGCCGACCACAAATGTAATTAACAACCTTGGTAACTGTTTGCATCACTTCTTGCAGTTCCTTTAGGCCAGCTTTTGCACATAAAGCCTCCTCATGTATGATGCAATGGAAGCCAATCAGTGGATGACCAACACTTTTTGCAAACAGATTTACAAATCCTGCCTTCTCACCAGTCATGTTTGGGGCACCATCTGTTGTGATGGATACTACTTTTGAAATGTCAATTTGCCGAGTAGAGAATTCGTTCACAACTGTTTTACATATTTCAGCCCCGGTAGTACGCTCAGGTAGTGATGCAAGAGCAACCATCTCTTCACATACTTCATCACCCTTCATAGATATGATTGTCAGTGTACATTATGGTTATGGGTGCAGCCGTTAGGTTGGAAAGGCTTATTACATAAAATATGAGCCAAAGTAAATAGAGGGGAATCATCATACATCGGCATGATCGATGACGTAAAAAAAGAAGGTAACTATGGCAACAAGATCAACTTCTTTTTCTTGAGACCTCTTTAGCTTCGAAGAGCTTACCTCTTCACCACCAGGACGTACATATACTGCCATGGCATGTAAGCTTATACCCCAAGGAAAGTAGTTTTTTTTTGTCTGTGCTTAGGGTAACATGTGCTTGCATCTGTGCTTAGGGTAACCTATGCTCTTGCGTGCCAGAGACAAGTCATCGGCGTGCCAAGTTTGGCACGCGTGCCAGAGGTTGCCCACCCTTGTTCTATTCTATTGGTGAACCGGACACAGGGTGAAGGAGGTACCCACAGGGGTAAGAGAGTAGGTCTCTCTTGGTTATACTTCATATGCCAAATGTAACAAATGTAATATATTGATTTGAACTGCTTATTAAGAACCCAAGAATTCTAATATAAACATTTTTAATTCACCGTTTTTTCTACTTGAGCTCCAGTGTGACCTACTTGACCTCCAGGGCGAGGGCGACGATGCCAGCAGCAAGGGGGGCGGCGGCGGAGGTGCCAGTGAACTTGTCGGTGCAGGTGTCGCGAAGGTCCGTGGTGGCCTGCAGGGAGCCGCCACCAACGGTACAAGTCATATATTCATGTATTAGTTGATCAAGCAACATACAGTGATGTATAGGTGACCAAGCAACACTCTCGTGGTCATACACTGTGGGTCTGCACACTGGCCGTCCCTTCACCCACACCAACCAACCATCCACGGACCATCACACCACCAATCCTCACCAAGACACACGTATATAAAACAACGTGACAGCATTCCACACAGGCACCTCAGACTGGACTGAGGTAAGATACACACTGATATCGCATGATACACATCATTCCATTAGTACTGCTGTCATAAGAATGTTATTAAAGACAACAAAATCCTACACACAATCCGTATTCTTGACAATAATAATTTTTTTGTAACTTTTGTGTGATATGTTGACGGCAGCGGGTACACGGCGGAAGAAAACTTACGATCTTCTGGTCGGTGTAGGCGCCGGAGGAGTAGGCGGCGGCGAGGGTGGAGGCGCACTGCTCCCCGTACCAGGGGAACCTGCCGGTCTCTGAGGCGCTGCTCACGCTCAGGGTGAAGATGGAGGAGGTGTAGCCGTCGCAGTTACAGTTGTCCCCCGCTGACCCTCCGTTACCAGCCGCCCAGACGTATACTGTGCCGCGACCCCCACGACCCTGACGGCGGAGTACCAGCTGTAGTGGCCAGCAGCAGCACCACCACCACTAGCAGCAGCTATGGGACGTGTACTGGTGGGGAAGGTGTAGTGGTGGGGACGAAGTGGTGTAGGGGTCGGGAAGGTGTAGTGGTGGGGACGGTGTAGTGGTGGGGACGGTGTAGTGGTGGGGACGAAGTGGTGTAGGGGTCGGGAAGGTGTAGTGGTGGGGACGGTGTAGTGGTGGGGACGGTGTAGTGGTGGGGACGGTGTAGTGGTGGGGACGAAGTGGTGTAGGGGTCGGGAAGGTGTAGTGGTGGGGACGGTGTAGTGGTGGGGACGGTGTACTGGTGGGGAAGGTGTAGTGGTGGGGACGAAGTGGTGTAGGGGTCGGGAAGGTGTAGTGGTGGGGACGGTGTAGTGGTGGGGACGAAGTGGTGTAGGGGTCGGGAAGGTGTAGTGGTGGGGACGGTGTAGTGGTGGGGACGAAGTGGTGTAGGGGTCGGGAAGGTGTAGTGGTGGGGACGGTGTAGTGGTGGGGACGGTGTAGTGGTGGGGACGAAGTGGTGTAGGGGTCGGGAAGGTGTAGTGGTGGGGACGAAGTGGTGTAGGGGTCGGGAAGGTGTAGTGGTGGGGACGAAGTGGTGTAGGGGTCGGGAAGGTGTAGTGGTGGGGACGAAGTGGTGTAGGGGTCGGGAAGGTGTAGTGGTGGGGACGAAGTGGTGTAGGGGTCGGGAAGGTGTACTGGTGGGGACGGTGTAGTGGTGGGGACGAAGTGGTGTAGGGGTCGGGAAGGTGTAGTGGTGGGGACGGTGTAGTGGTGGGGACGAAGTGGTGTAGGGGTCGGGAAGGTGTAGTGGTGGGGACGGTGTAGTGGTGGGGACGAAGTGGTGTAGGGGTCGGGAAGGTGTAGTGGTGGGGACGGTGTAGTGGTGGGGACGAAGTGGTGTAGGGGTCGGGAAGGTGTAGTGGTGGGGACGAAGTGGTGTAGGGGTCGGGAAGGTGTAGTGGTGGGGACGAAGTGGTGTAGGGGTCGGGAAGGTGTAGTGGTGGGGACGAAGTGGTGTAGGGGTCGGGAAGGTGTAGTGGTGGGGACGAAGTGGTGTAGGGGTCGGGAAGGTGTAGTGGTGGGGACGAAGTGGTGTAGGGGTCGGGAAGGTGTAGTGGTGCCTGGGAATACCCAACACATGGGGTCGAATCCTCATCACGGCGTCTAGGGATTGTCTCACCTATATATATATATAATTATAGTGCCCAGAATTGTGTAGGGGGCGGACGTAACTAGGGACCAGAGGTCATCCGTGATGGCCTCCTCTTCGGGTAGTATTGACCTTCAATTTCTTTCTTTATTATGCACCCCATACCCATCCCGTGGGCGGTGGTGTAAAGGATTACTGAGGCACATAATATTGACCTCATCACTCTTTCTCCTCTATGGCTCTTTATTATCTCTTCTTTACTCACTTTTATGTTATATATTGTACACACACACTCTAGATGATGTTTATGATGTCCAATGTTGAAGTGCAACTCAGAATGTCCCGTAATATGTTGCTTGCTTCTGATATGTCTATGTATATGTATGTATATACATATACACGTTGTACTGAACGGGGTGAGAATAGCTTGAGCTTCCTCATCCCTTTGTGTGTATTTATACGTCAATAAACTTATTTGAATTTAAATTTGAAATGTTGAAGTGAAATGCAGAAAAAGTTACAAATACAGCATAAGAATACAATCAAATCTAACCCATCCATACCTAACCTATCATCATCTAACTTATCCTTATTTAATCTATCCTACCTAACATATCGTAACCAATTCTATCCTGGCATTATTTATCCTAACCTGTTCCAACTTAATCTAACCTTATCCCAAACCTAGCCTAACCAAATCTATCATGACCACAGCCATAATCATATTTGATTACGGCTTACGTGAAGCCGTAAGGTATCGATCAATATTACATATTTTGTCCAGAGTAAAGTGACAGCAGACACCTGGATGGTGTGTTCCAGCAGACACCTGCTCCTGATAGTGAGTGCTCTTACAACTATAATACAATAGTAGACTACATGTAGCTGCTTCAAAATGTATGGACATGCTTTGAGTATATTAAGCTTATCTCAGGCGGATAAAGAATATTACAATATACAATAATAAAATATTGGTTTACTATATACGTGTAATGAAGAACATCTTCACGTCTTTACTTAATGCAAACTGATATATCAAGACAGATAAAATAATGATATTTAACCTAATCTATTTCAAATTTAACCTAATCTATTTCAAATTTAACCTAATCTATTTCAACCTAACCTGTCCTAATTTAATACTACCAAAACTAACCTAATCTATCCTAGCCTATCGTAGTCTAATAAAACCCAACAATCTAATCTATCCTAACCTATCAAAACGTAATAAAACCAAATATAACCTAATCAAATCTAGCCTTACCTATCCTAATCTCAGCCAACCTATCTGACAGTGCTTAGTCCATGGTAGACTTCTCAGAGTGAGTTGAATATTTACCAGCTGAGCATGTGTGTGTGTGTGGTGTTTACACTGGGTGTAACAGTGGACAGAGGTGATGATGTGATCAGGCTCCAGGAACGTGCCATCCCAATTCATGATAATACCGGTTCTGATCCAATATAATTACGAGGTGTAGGGAGCGTGGGGTGTGTATAAATATCCAGGCCTTAACCAGGGTATGTATTACCATCAGTTACATGATAATTCGTATTATTAAGTGATTTTGAAAAACGTTTCCTGATAATAACCATAATTTCCTGATCATTTCCATAATAACTTATTTCCCTTATATTTCTGCACTGTAAAAGGCACCACCAATGATTGAATTGTGTATTTTAATGGGCGTTCCTCCACTGTTTCTTCTGTACATTCTTGAGGGGATGAAACGGTAGGAGTTTTACGTGATCGATCTCCCTAGCACTGATCCATCGTGATTTGTTGTGGATATGTTGAGAATTAAAAAAAGTGAAAATATTATGAATAATAAAAATGCAAAAAAAATACATAATTGACAACTAAATAACATATTGTAAAAGTTTAAATTACAAAAGCGTTAACATTAATTTACAATTCCAAATACTTTGCATTGTGTGTTAATATTGTCTGAATATGTCTGATAATTACATGACGTCACATAATTACGAAAACGTTATCAAAATGCTGAAACAAATTTGTAAAGAATGTTTAGGACTGAACTATTCCGGTAACTTGCGTCATTTCTAGTGGGTTTGTGTACGCAGACAATACACATTATTTATATGTTAATACATCCCCTCCACCTGTCCATCCTCAACGCTGTAGGAACATCAGTCAGGTTGAGCTGTAAGCAGTAAAGACGTACACAGCTGAACTCACCTCCATGACGCCCTTTCGCAGCGACATCTCAGCTAGCCTGCCGGGGCCCTCGACCCTCTGGCCGTCGTCAGTGGGCCCCCAGGAGCAGCTGACCACGTCCACCTTGTCGAGGGCATGAGAGAGGGATAGGCCCTCCACCACGTCGCTCACCGGCCCATCCAGCATCCGGATACCTGCACCGGAGGGAGGAGGGCACGTGTCAAGCAGGAGGGGGACACGTGCCAATCAGGGAAGCGACGCGTGTCAAGCAGGAAAGGGGGACATGTGTCAATCAAGAGTAGGGAAACGTGTCAAGCAAGAGGGGGAAACGTGTCAAGCAGGAGGGGGAAAACACACTGGCTCCGTACGTCATCCCGACGCCACACTTACCGCCCACTCTGGCTCCATACGCCATCCCGACGCCACACTTACCGCCCACTCTGGCTCCGTACGCCACCCCGACGCCACACTTACCGCCCACTCTGGCACCGTACGCCACCGCGACGCCACACTTACCGCCCACTCTGGCACCGTACGCCACCCCGACGCCACACTTGTGGTTGTTAGCGGTCATGGCTATCTCCCCGGCACAGCGGGTGCCGTGAGAGTTGGAGAAGCGGGTGTCGTAGCGGGGCGTGGGGTCGTCGTCGTTGTCGTTAAAGTCGTAGCTGATCTCTGCGTCCTGCAGGAGCATGCAGTTATCAGTTATGCGGTCATCAGGTGAGATAGTGTCAGGTTATCATCACTTGGAATGGTGTAAAGTTATCATCAGGTGGTATGGGTGTTTATGCTCACAACTGGTCAAAGTTCCCAGTCAAACATTAGACCTGTGAGGTGAAGGTTGAGGGAAGAAACTAACATAGTTGTTGGTGAGGTCGGTGTGTGCCCACTCGAGGCCGTCGTCAAGGACCAGGAGCCTCACCCCCCGACCTGTCACCCCCGCCTGCCACACCTTCACCACCTGCAGGTCCAGCTTGGGCAGGTCAGACCGTGTCCGGGTGTCGTACTGGCCACATGGAGAAAATATGGGCATTAGTTTCCAATTTTATCTTTGTCGCTCTCTGTCGCACTTTCTCTCGTAGGAACATAATATTAAAAGGACATTATAGAAGGTATGTTGATCCAAGCGAGGCTGCTCTTGTTCCCATCCAACCACTTTCAGGCACTTTGCATGTAACCTGTCATGTTTGGGCCTATGAGGCTACCTGGTAATATATCCTGTGGATATATTTCTACACGCACTGTTCATCTCTGTTATATATGACTTTATACAAAATGGAAATTACTTTTCTTAGTACCACTTCAAAAGGGAATTTATTGCTCGTGTATAATCAAATTCATGATACATGATGCATATATATATATTAGTATTAATAATTATTGATCAGTTCTAATTTAAGCTACAGGTTCTCGTACCATGTATTGCATCCATTTTAAGTACATTTCAGAATTTTGACATACATTCATTATCAACAACAATACAAAGCTGAAACTTCAACAAAAAGACCAAAGACTTACCAGGTACCACTGACGCTGCCACATCTCGTCGTTAAACATGGCTTCCATTCCCAACGCCTTGGCTGCCAAGGCCGACCTCTTGCTCCTGTTGATCCTCTTGTGTTTCCTCTCTGCTTCCTTCCCTTGAAGCCTCGCGTCCCCCTGAAGCCTCGCGTCCCCCTGAAGCCTCGCGTCCCCCTGAAGCCTCGCGTGCCCCTGAAGCCTCGCGTCCCCCTGAAGCCTCTTGACGCGAACGAGAGGTGCATAAGGGTCGTAGGGGTCCCCAACCTCAGCCCTGTCATCTCGCTTCACTCTCTGCTTCACGTACTGCTGCTCCGCCCACACCACCTTCAATTGAACCTCAGCGTTCAGTGCTACGCTCTTGAACAAAGCCTATGAACTCTGAACAATTCGGCTTTGGACCTAAACTTATGAGCGTTGAGCACAACGACTCTAGCATTGAACCTGAGCGTTGAACACTGTGACTCTTGCACTGTACTTGAGCGTTGAACACTCCGTTGAATAACATTGCCCAGCAACAAACATATAAAATGAAGAGCTTAATTTAATCACTAGTACCATGCGCGAACTTTGTGTGGTGTGACCAGCTGCTTCCTCCCCGGGCATATCCCATCCCGGGTATACTCCACCCAGGGTATATCTCATCCCAGGTAAGTCCTATCCCGGGTAAATCTCATTCATCAATAATGTTTCCCACTTCCCTCTCTTCCGTTTTATGAAATTAAAATTATGATTATGAAAATAATTATGAAAGTATTGATAGAAATGTGCCCCCCCCCCCTCCCCTACTGCCACCGACCAGAAGATTGAATAATATATTATAAGAGCAAGAACACTGTCTTGGTCATGGTCGTGTAGAGGTTGAGTCGTGGTCGTGCAGTAGTCGTGGTTGTGGTCGTGCAGTAGTCATGGTCGTGGTCGTGCAGTAGTCATGGTCGTGGTCGTGCAGTAGTCGTGGTTGTGGTCGTGCAGTAGTCGTGGTTGTGGTCGTGCAGTAGTCGTGGTTGTGGTCGTGCAGTAGTCGTGGTTGTGGTCGTGCAGTAGTCATGGTCGTGGTCGTGCAGTAGTCATGGTCGTGGTCGTGCAGTAGTCTTGGTCATGGTCGTGTAGAGGTTGAGTCGTGGTCGTGCAGTAGTCGTGGTTGTGGTCGTGCAGTAGTCGTGGTTGTGGTCGTGCAGTAGTCGTGGTTGTGGTCGTGCAGTAGTCGTGGTTGTGGTCGTGCAGTAGTCATGGTCGTGGTCGTGCAGTAGTCGTGGTTGTGGTCGTGCAGTAGTCATGGTCGTGGTCGTGCAGTAGTCGTGGTTGTGGTCGTGCAGTAGTCATGGTCGTAGTCGTGCAGTAGTCATGGTCGTGGTCGTGCAGTAGTCTTGGTCATGGTCGTGTAGAGGTTGAGTCGTGGTCGTGCAGTAGTCATGGTCGTGGTCGTGCAGTAGTCTTGGTCATGGTCGTGTAGAGGTTGAGTCGTGGTCGTGCAGTAGTCATGGTCGTGGTCGTGCAGTAGTCTTGGTCATGGTCGTGTAGAGGTTGAGTCGTGGTCGTGCAGTAGTCATGGTCGTGGTCGTGCAGTAGTCTTGGTCATGGTCGTGTAGAGGTTGAGTCGTGGTCGTGCAGTAGTCGTGGTTGTGGTCGTGCAGTAGTCGTGGTTGTGGTCGTGCAGTAGTCGTGGTTGTGGTCGTGCAGTAGTCGTGGTTGTGGTCGTGCAGTAGTCATGGTCGTGGTCGTGCAGTAGTCGTGGTTGTGGTCGTGCAGTAGTCATGGTCGTGGTCGTGCAGTAGTCGTGGTTGTGGTCGTGCAGTAGTCATGGTCGTGGTCGTGCAGTAGTCATGGTCGTGGTCGTGCAGTAGTCTTGGTCATGGTCGTGTAGAGGTTGAGTCGTGGTCGTGCAGTAGTCATGGTCGTGGTCGTGCAGTAGTCTTGGTCATGGTCGTGTAGAGGTTGAGTCGTGGTCGTGCAGTAGTCGTGGTTGTGGTCGTGCAGTAGTCATGGTCGTGGTCGTGCAGTAGTCTTGGTCATGGTCGTGTAGAGGTTGAGTCGTGGTCGTACAGTAGTCATGGTCGTGGTCGTGCAGTAGTCTTGGTCGTGTAGAGGTTGAGTCGTGGTCGTGCAGTAGTCATGGTCATGATCGTGCAGTGGTCATGGTGGTGTAGAGATTGAGTCGTGGACGTGCAGCAGTCGTGGTCGTGCAGTAGTGATGGTCGTGTAAAAGTCGTAGCCGCAGAGACTTAAAGCGTGGATTTTTGCAGAGGATTACAAACAACAACAGACTATTTACGTCCAAACAAAGTGGTGGATGATAAAGTTACCGAGGCGTGGGCGTTGAGGTGGTGGGTGAGGGCGGGGGCGTGCCTCTTGTGGGCGGCCGGGTGGTCCAGCTTCACCATCCGGTACACGTCCTCGAACCCTCCCACCTGCACAACCAAAACACACAAGCTTATTGCGAGGAGAGATATTTGTTCAGAGGCGAGAGCTTGTTTGTCGATAACCAAAATTTTGATTGTGCGCGGGAGTTTAAGAAGTGGAAATTCGCCATATATTGGCTGCCTTCCCTTGTTGAAATTGGAATACTTTATTGAGGTAAGATACACACAAAGGGATGAGGTAGCTCAAGGTATTCTCAACCTGATCCTTCCCTTATTTGTCTCAGTTTGGTCTTGATAAGGATTCAAAACTGGTCGAAATGGTGTCAGTGTCCATTCATATATGTGTGAGTTGTAGGGTTATTGGCCCCATTATTGTGACAGTCTTTGCAAGAGGTGGTAGTTAAAGAAGAGGGAGTTAAATTAGAAAGACTGACATCATGTTTACCACTCGCTTACACTCCCAAATATTTGAGAACGGTGAAGCAAACTGCACGTATGAAATAACACATATTATAAACATAATAATCAAACGAGTTATTTTTATAAATGTGTAATTAACCGAAGAGTATTTATAAGAATAGTCACACCTAATATTTTAGATGTATTGCATTGTTATTTTGTTTTGTTTTCAGTAACAGAAAAACAACAATGTATTTGATCCTGTCTCAAACACAAATACATTTAAACTTAAACACCATATACAATGTCGTCAATATCTCCCTCCCCCCCCCCACCTCTCCCTCCCTCCCTCCCTCCCTCCCTCCCTCCTTCACACACACACACACACACACACACACACACAATAGACGAAAGGAGATAAGGGGGAAAAGATGACATGAAGATTCTCATGAGAAATTTACAAGGTAGACAAATCAGCATTGTTCAAAACTAGGAACAGCAAAACGACGGGTCATAAATGGTATCTAGAGACAAATAACTCACAGAGACGTTAGAAAGAACTTTTTCAGTGTTAGAACTGTCAATATGTGAAATAGGTTAGGCGTACAAGTCGTCGAAGTTAACTCGATTCTAATTTGTAAATGTAAATATGATAAAAGAGCGAGAAATTTGACATTGCACTGATCTAAGAACGTTGTGAAGGCGGGGCTAGGAACCCAGCTTGACCCTGCAAGCACATCTTGATGAGTACACACACAGTAGGAGTCTCAGTGCAGAGCGGTTATGAGCTGCAGGATTGATTGATTGATAAAGATTAAGCCACCCAAGAGGTGGCACGGGCATGACTAGCCCGTAGCTGCCGGGATCATCCCGGGCGTAAGTAACCCAGCACTTGGAGAGGTGAACCAACACACTTTGTGACGGAGCTCACCACGGTAAACAACTCAGTGTGCATACTTTATCTTCACCAATTAACTTATCATGCAATATATACATATATATAAGCGGGGAAAGTATACATGTGCGTGTTTTTACCTAGCTGTGCAGGCAGGGGTTGAGTTTCGGTTCTTTGGTCCCGCCTCTCAAGCATTCAATCAACTGGTGTACAAGTTCCTGAGCCACTGGGGGGCTTATCATATCTACTTTTGCAATTATGAATGGGGTTGCCACGGTTGTCTGCTATGTATATACCATAAGGCTAGTAGCTCCAGTATCACGGTGAAAGGCGTACGACGCCACGGCCGACTACGATCTGATTTCAAGCGAATTGGCTGTTTTGTTTCATGTTGGCGTTGGATCCTGCTGGAATATTTGTCTTACGTACGTATGGTTCACCACAGCTCCATAAACGACACTTTTGTACTCATTAATATCTTCTAACTGCATGTTATTGTTAGTTTTATGCTTTACATGCATCAGAACTATAGTCTGGACTAAGGCCATAGACAAGATCATTATTATTATTTGTCGTTTAGTACTGTATGGGATCAATGTTATAACGTTATTGGCATAACGCGTTCTTGTGATTATAGTGTCATTATAGATCGTGTGAACGTTACTCCCATTATACAGAACTATATCTTCTATATCTTGTCATTTTGAAGGTGTGTGACCTCAGTGGTAGAGAACTATCTCTTCCACTGCCTTCACGGGGATTACGTTTCAATTGAAAGGGAAACACTTGCGGGGTAGTGAGGACACTTGAGCGTAATTACGCGCAAGGCGTGTGTGTGTGTGTGTGTGTGTGTGTGTGTGTGTGTGTGTGTGTGTGTGTGTGTGTGTGTACTTACCTAATTGTACTTACCTAATTGTGCTTGCGGGGGTTGAGCTCTGGCTCTTTGGTCCCGCCTCTCAACCGTCAATCAACTGGTGTACAGATTCCTGAGCCTATTGGGCTCTATCATATCTACATTTGAAACTGTGAATGGAGTCAGCCTCCACCACATCACTTCCTAATGCATTCCATTTGCTAACTACTCTGACACTGAAAAAGTTCTTTCTAACGTCTCTGTGGCTCATTTGGGTACTCAGCTTCCACCTGTGTCCCCTTGTTCGCGTCCCACCAGTGTTGAAAAGTTCGTCCTTGTTTACCCGGTCGATTCCCCTGAGGATTTTGTAGGTTGTGATCATGTCCCCCCTTACTCTTCTGTCTTCCAGTGTCGTGAGGTGCATTTCCCGCAGCCTTTCCTCATAACTCATGCCTCTTAGTTCTGGGACTAGTCTAGTAGCATACCTTTGGACTTTTTCCAGCTTCGTCTTGTGCTTGACAAGGTACGGGCTCCATGCTGGGGCCGCATACTCCAGGATTGGTCTTACATATGTGGTGTACAAGATTCTGAATGATTCCTTACACAGGTTCCTGAACGCCGTTCTGATGTTAGCCAGCCTCGCATATGCCGCAGACGTTATTCTCTTTATGTGGGCTTCAGGAGACAGGTTTGGTGTGATATCAACTCCTAGATCTTTCTCTCTGTCTGTTTCATTAAGTACTTCATCTCCTATTCTGTATCCTGTGCCTGGCCTCCTGTTTCCACTGCCTAGTTTCATTACTTTGCATTTACTCGGGTTGAACTTCAACAGCCATTTGTTGGACCATTCACATGTGTGTGTGTGTGTGTGTGTGTGTGTGCGTGTGTGTGTGTGTATGTGCGTGTGCGTGTGCGTGTGCGTGTGTGTGTGTGTGTACTCTCCTAGTTGTGTTTGCGGGGGTTGAGCTCTGGCTCTTTGGTCCCGCCTCTCAACTGTCAATCAACTGGTCTACAGATTCCTGAGCCTATTGGGCTCTATCATATCTATATTTGAAACTGTGTATGGTGTCAGCCTCCACCACAACACTACTTAATGCATTCCATTTGTTAACTACCCTGACACGGAAAAAAATCTTTCTAACGTCTCTGTGGCTCATCTGGGTACTAAGTTTCCACCTGTGTCCCCTTGTTCGTGTTCCACCCGTGCCTAAAGAGTTTGTCTTTGTCCACCCTGTTAATTCCCCTGAGAATTTTATCATGTCTCCCCTTACTCTTCTGTTTTCCAGGGTTGTGAGGTTCAGCTCCCTTAGTCTTTCCTCGTAGCTCATTCCTCTCAGTTCCGGGACCAGTCTGGTGGCATACCTCTGAATCTTCTCTAACTTTGCCTTGTGTTTAACTAGGTATGAACTCCAAGCTGGAGCTGCATACTCCAGGATTGGTCTTACATAAGTGGTATACAGGGTCCTGAACGTTTCCTTACACAAGTTTCTGAAGGCAGTTCTTATATTGGCCTTTGTGACGTTGGAAATGTTCGCGAAAATACAATTCTTGTCCAAAGCAACGATACTCATTCCTTGAATCTGATGTCACTATTCAGTAACAAATCTACCAAATTCCAACTCGATCTTAAACTAAACTAGCAAACATAACCTAATAAAACTTCCTTTAACACAAACTAAACCTAACTTACTCGTCCAGGAAAGCTGACAGTAGCAGGTTTGAATATGGGCGGCTCGTTCCGTCAAGAAAAAAGTTAAATATCTTATAAACCTTTAAAATGTTCGGGACATAAAATCAGGTATATAATTTTTTGTAACAAGAACGAGTTAACTATTTTTTTACGGACGTTACGATGATGTCGAGAAGAAAACTTAAAACCTTCAGGAGATTATATTAACTATCGCATTAGCCACAAATCCCAAGCAACACTGATCTGGTCACGGTTGTGATGGATTAAGACATAAACGTGACTTGGGTAGCTTAAGCAATAAATGCTTAACTAATAGACATACATGCTGGCTTCATCATTGTAATTTTCTTACCTGGCCCAGGAACTGATACCCCAAGTCCTTAGCGACGGCGGCCGCCAGCTCTCTCCCTCCGGGCAGATGCACCACCCACTCGTTCAGATAGGTGTCTGCGTGCTCCTCCCCTGCATGGGCCTGTCCTCGACCCAGGTGGGCGTGCTTCACGGCGCCCTGTTCGAACGTCTGGTCTCTGTTGATCTTGGCGTCTTCGGGAACCTCGCGTCGTCTAGTTTCGAGAAGAGAATTAGAGTGACTCCTCTCGAGGTTAGCGTCGTATGAACCCCATAGCGCAAGTCTCGAGGACACAGACTGACGATATTTTGGTTCTTGAATATCCTTGTTTACCGCTTGGCTCGGGTCTACTCCCTCGGCGAAGATTTCTCTTAGTGTTTCCTTGACCTCTTGGTATTTCTTCACTAAAGACTCGTTTTCAATGTTGTTATTGGTGTCTCTTTTGGTGGGCCGTTGCTCGAGTTGGGTGGCATTAGTGGTGGAGAGGATGGAGGAGAGGACGAGGAGTGCCAGGGCCAGCTGGAGAGCCAGGCTGGTCATGGCTCCACCTCGACCACACTGCGGCGATACTGGTGAGTAGGGGGCGGCGGCCCTCTCTTACCCCCTCCTCCTCTTCCTCCCTCTCCCACCACACACACACACACACACACACACACACACACACACACACACACACACACACACACACACACACAAGCACTTACATCATGAGTTCTGACATGCTAGACACATTTCCACACACTATAATTATCTGACTATTGAAAGAGCAATTCATATTCTAATGCTTTATTCTGAAATTGTCGTTGTTATATCATCAGAATATCGTGCCACCAACCACGTCAGCTGAAGCTCCTAAAACAGAGAAGATAGAGTGAACAACGGTTTTAAGCATTTGGCAACTGAGGCGCAAATGAACTCACTATGCAGATGTGGAAGTGGGTCTTTACCCGATTTCTTTATGAGGGCAACATGTTCCTCTTAACTGAATGCTGGTTAACAACGATCAGTTTGGTAGTAATGGATGCACTCGCCAGTACTAGTTCACCAAGCTCTATACCTTTCCTAATAACTATTGACCTTAGCAATTATTGTTACCTTTTGATGCATCAAATTCACTCGCGAGATAACGTCCTAAACTCGTGTCTAAATAAAAAATAAAATGTAAATAACTAATTTAAGCTGCTTTAAATTTTAAGCCTTTGCAAAACTGCTCATAGTGGGTTTACAATCGACTGGACCTCGAGTTCAATTACTGACAGCTGAGTGGACAGCGCTTCGGATTCGTAATCCTGAGGTTCCGGGTTCGATCCCCGGTGGAGGCAGAGACAAATGTGCAAAAAAGTTTCTTTCACCCTGATGCTCCTGTTACCCAGCAGTAAATAGGTATCTGGGAGTTAGACAGCTGCTACGGGCTGCTTCCTGGGGGTGTGTAACAAAAAGGAGGCCTGGTCGAGGACCGGGCCGCGGGGACTAATCCCCGAAATCATCTCAAGATAACCTCAAGATAACCGGTCAGGGTGATGTCTCTTTTCACCTAGCCATAAATATTTGTTATATTATCTGGTGATTCCTTGGTTATTTAGCACAAACAAGATAAAGGTGAGGACGGGCTCCAACAAGGATGTACTCACTAAGTCCATCAAGTGAGTAACACCGTAAGGAATGTTTTGTATGAACCTTCAACACTAAATATTTCAGAGAAGTATATAATATAATGCTAATCAAATAAAACAAAAAATATAAACAATCAATTTATTAACGCAATAATGGGGTTTAAATTGTTGAGTAATAAAAGGCCAATGTAAGTTAAATAAAACACATATATTACAAAAATATGAAAAATACCACCATTCCACCAGAGGAGTGCCATCACTTCCAACACATGGTTTGGGTGACCAGGCTATCAACCCATCCACTCACACGTCACATTTTTTTGCGGAACCGACCATTCAGTTAAATGCATTAATAATGTATGGTAATAGTACAAATTATTGCACCGTATATTGACGCTTTTTATACATCATCCTCAATAGGTTGGGCGAGTAAGTAAGCTTATAAGCAACTCGCCTAACCTATTTTTTAAGGATAGCAAATCGAGAGAACGAACTGGCAATATGGACCTAATCAAACGTGGTAAACACTGCGTGTATCCATATGTCAGGTCCTGATCGTTAGTAAGGAATCCTGTCTGGAGTCGCCAGAAATATTTTTGAATTTCATTCTAGATTTGTTTGGTCATTACTGGACGCCTGCAGGTGCTCTGACGTCACGAATGAGGTACAGGTGTGTGAGGGGGTGTACACATAGCAGAGACCTTGATAAACATGTGTACACTCCCAGACCTGACATACATGTGTACACTACCAGACCTGCCATACATGTGTACACTACCAAACCCGAGAAACATCCACAGGGTGGTTGTCTATATTTACTTAGCTTATGTATATACAGGATTATGGAATCCATTTAAAAAGATGAGCGGTAATCCTGTGTCAACCAATTTAAATATTATTACTGAAGTTTGAATAGTGATGAACAACTGTCTAAATCTAGGAATTCCTTGTTTTACTTATACAACAACAACGATATGAGATATCATCACTTTAGGCTACGAGAAACGCCCATCGCTTTGTAGCCCAAATTACCACATTTCAGCATGATTATGTGATCATGGCAGAAATCTGTAATGTAACACACAGTACAACAGTTATAAGCCCATCCCGCCCTATTCAGATATACTGTAACTCATTTAGGAGCGGACATGGGTCAAGTACTGTATACAAATTGAATGAAAATGAATAACAAAGGATGTATTAATAATGGTGTTACAGATAGCAACACGAAACAATGGATACAATTTAGATAAGTTTAGACTCAGAAAAGACCTTGGTAAACACAGTACTAGCACGCTAATTGTAATTGACTCCCCGCCAAACACACACCGAAACTACGACGTTGGTACAACGTCGTAGTTTTGGCCCAAGACTTTTGCTCGTAAAGAGGGAATTCATTACCAACTTGGACTGCCTTTGAGCAGCCTGATGGCTGTAATATTCCGGGAACATCAACTAAATTTCGGAGACTTGAGGCAAAGTGAAATTCACACCAGTTACTCCATTTATCATCATTCTATTATGCAGGAAGTACTGCACGTCTATGGGTCATCCAATAATGTTAGCAGACTTCTAGATGTTACCACTGCTAGGCTTAGGTTCGGCTACAAGTACCTCTGGGAGTTTGTAACATCTGCTGATGTAGATTTGACTAAGTGTAAACTCTGTTAGCAGAACTATTCGCATACTTTGCGTCATTATATAAGGAAATGGAATGTGAAAAAAATCGCGGAATTTAGAGATAACACCATCAACAGTGTCCAAGAAATGTGTAAGTACTTCATTCATAAAGATGTGCTGCCCGAAATCTTCGCGAAGTATCCAAAATTTGCTTACTGTAAGTAATGCATGCACATGACTGTAAAGCTGCCGCCCAGTTGGGTGGGTGTGGAGCAAGACTAGTAACTGTGTGACTCATCATAGATGTAAAGTGCCTTGTATAGTGACTGTTGTGAGCCTCTTGTTGAATCACTTGTGACACAAAAGATTATTGATGTGTGGGTGATTAAATATGTATGTGTATGTATAAATGTATACGTATATATATGTAGATGTATGCATGGGTAGGTGTACATGTATATATAACATTAATAATTTAGTAACTAACGTCAAAAGATTGTTATTTGCTTAGCTAAACGAACTAGAGGGTTCAGTTCCTGAACCGATTATGTGCCTCTGTAATCCTTTACACCACCGCCCACGGGATGGGTATGGGGTGCATAATAAAGAAAGAAATTGAATTGCATGCAAATATGATTGTTCATTGTGGGAACAGCTTACTGCGTAACTTTATTAATTAGATGTAACCGCTGCAGTTTCCTTTATATTTCTCATAAATACCCTGACGCATGTATATATAGCCTTACCATGACTCATTTAGATATAGACCTAATCTGACTCACATATTATTAAACTATAACAACATTGCCTTGCTTTGAATGTAGGCTACTTACCAACATGAACTAATCTAAACAATGATTTATATAATCACACTACAACTGGTAACAAAGACATACCATGATAGGCACGCGTGTCCTAGGTAGTGTACCTATGGCACGCGAAACAATTTGCCGTCCCTAAATTCTTTAAACCCTACCCATGATAAATAAATACATATGTAAGGGATACCATTGTTGCCAAACTAAGCTGTTGCTCGTTTTGAGAGTTCAAAGATTATTGCTCAACATGGAAAACCAATCAGTGGTTTTCTGATTGGTTTTCCATGTTGTGGTTTTACTCAGTGATTTTCTATTATACTCAGTGGGAGTATAATAAAGAATCATTACTAAAATGTGCTTGCTTTTTTACGATTTTTCCAGAAAAGGAAAAGATATTCAGCGAATTAAGGATTTCTCAATGATTATAAACAGTAAAATATAGAATATTAAAGATGTAAACAAACACAGCTAACAAAACTATTGGTTCATGTAAATTTTCCTTCACATTTGTCTTAATGCAAATATGAGCATTGACCTTACATCATGAGCTAGGCTAGACAATATTGCTTGATTCTTGATGAAATTTGTGAAGAACTGGTTAACTTCGTAACGTTACCTGAATATTTCATAGAGATGACCTTTCAAAAGAAATTCCGTGACCAGTGATGGTGCATCTAGCATGACTGGTAAATAAGCAATTTGTTTAAATGTATTTGCAAAATATGTTGGTCATCTACTGATAGGCTTTCATTATATTGTACAAAAAGAGGCTTTGAATGCAAAAGCTGGCTTTAGGGAATTTGAAGATGCAATGTAGTTAATTATATTTATCCGTGTGCTTAGAAAAAATAATCAGAATTTACTGAGAGAGGCGAATTCCGTGTACAGAGAACTATAGCAATGCAGTTGAAAAGTCACAATAATTACGTGGCGGAAAAATATCGACCAAACCACACACTAGAAATTGAAGAGACGACGACGTTTCGGTCCAGATATGACCGTTTCCGACATGATAATGGTCCAGGACGGACCGAAACGACGTCGTCTCTTCAATTTCTAGTGTAGTTTGGTCAACTATACCAATATTTACACACGGAAATCACAATAGCGTCATGCATCAAATGAGCAAATCCACAAGGGCCGTGACCTTCGTCACGGCCCTTGTAGATTTGTTCATACCAATATTTGTTGACTTCTGTCCTTAAAGGATTTGTTGAATATTTGGGTAACATTCGTTTTGTTTTTGACAAAAAACAAAAAATTTAAGCATTATCTTCCGTATAAATTTGAAGCTTGATATTTTTTCTTTACATCTCACGTGTAAAAATATATGAGTATCAAATTACAAGGATATGACAATTAAAACACTTGATGTTATGTCTGATATCATAAAAACCTTTAAAAGCAGGCTTAAATTTTTAAACGATGTTGATATTGGCGCATAATAAATATTTCCCCAAACATAAACATTACGGATCTTGAATTTTCATGAGGAAACAGATATTCGGAGCCTT